TGGCGCTCTTAACGGTATGTTTCAGTGAGCTAAATTTAGGCATTATCTAGAAGTGATCACTAAAGGGAATGTTGTATTTTCATTCGAGAGTGATTATCAAAGCCAACCAAATTGATTATATCATCGCTTTCATTATAATTCTAAGCTCCAAGAAGTGACGAAGAAAGGTTACCGAATGGCAGCCTCTTACTGGTAAGCGCAGTTTGTGGATGAATACAAGAAGTTGATAGACGCAGGTAGGTCAGGACGTTTATTCAACAGGCTTCTGTTTAGGAATAGACTTATTGTAAAGACAACCCTGCTGTAAAAATGAATATGATAATACTTATTCTTTTGATATTAGGTTTGATATAGGATAAAAATGATATTAAATAAAGTGGTAGGTACATTTATAGGTATTTTAAGATACTTTTAGTAGTTCGTTCTTCGTTACTTCGTTACACGCATTTTTTTTATTATATTAGCCAGAACACAAATATGAAAACTACTATTTTTTCAGATTTCTTGATGCTCGTTAGATTTTGATTAAATCAAACTGTCAGTACACCCTACTGACAGTTTGATTTTGAATTTTAGGAGTAGTCTTAGAAAACTCTTACATAATATCGTTATGACATTTGTACTTTTTTAATAATTCTCGTAGGCTATAATACTCATTTATATGTAATGAAATCACATGTTCAGCGGTAGCTTCTAACAGCTAAAGCAATTAAATAACCCTTATGTGTTATAACCTCTTATTGCGTCATATAAAACAATTCGGCAAATTGTGCCCTTAATTTATGCAGTACATCTTTACAATCTTCCACTTTTATTGCGTATATATAACGTGTCCCAAAATTTAACGTAAAGCGGGCAGTGTGCAAGGATCATACCAGCCCCGAAAAAAAAATCCATATCTGTTAAATCAGTTATAACTAACAAAGTTATGAAGATGAGGAAAATCGACACCTTAAATGAAATTTTTCAACTTTGCAGTAACTTTTTCACAAGCATGGATAAATGTGCCAATAATTGCAGTTACAAATCAAGCACTAAAAGTTGCTGGGTTAGTTAAAACTTTTGACTCTTCATTAAAAAAATACAAACTGTACTACCCTAAGCAAGTTAATTCAAAAGATGGCCCATTTATTCCAATTCAAAATGGTATAATGCGTATCACATTTAATTCTTTAAAAAAAACTAATTAGATTTTCTGAAATAATACCTAAAATCGAACTAATTATAAAATCAAATAATTACGCCATTTCATTTGAGTTAGAGCGAGATATGTAGAGATGCTATTTGATATTCGATTAAATTATGTTAGATTGGATTAAAAAAACGATTCTATAAATAAATTCGGAGATATAATATAAAATAAACCAAATGTTTTATTAAAATATTTTGTTTTAAGTCATAAAAATATTCAAATAGTTTGCCTTCAGTTCAGGAATGAAGTGTCTCTACACTGTAAGTCTACATCGTTTTAAAAAACTTCGCTTCACTAATCTTCCGCATCTTCAAAAATTAATTTTTGCAGCAGCTGCTTTAACTTTCTGACGTATTTCGGTTATGTTTTGAATAGTTTTTGCATAAATTTTCTTTTTCTGCAACACTAGAAAAAAAAATAAGAGGTTTTAGATATGGAGAGCAAGGTGTCAACGTGATAGTACCAAGAAGATTTAGATCGTGCATAATGCGTTGGGCAGGAAATTCAAATAATTCTCCCCACTCAAGGTCTCCAGTAATTAAAAAGGGCCAATAATTTGATCGTTTATTATTGCAGTCCACAAATTATAACTCAGTTTTACACCAAACTTGTTTGACCATTTTTTTTTTACTTTTCTTTTTAACGTACGGAATATTTAGAATATATTTCTAAATTGCTTCGAATTAACAAGAACAAACAAAACAAAAATGTTCACTTGTTTTAAATAAAATGCCTCTAACAGATGTTACAGCCTATATACATTTCGCTGCCGGGCACCGGCCTACCCTCATTTCCATGAGTAATAACACATGAGTAAAGAAACCTTTACTCATCCTACAAAGGCTGTTACAGTACCAAGTTATCAAGTATACACACATAGTTGGGCTATGAAAGTTAAAGCCCATTGTAAATTATGCATGAAGTTCCACGTCTCAATAGTCGGCGAACAAACACACGGGCATTATGCGAAAACACGAATGAGTTGAGACAACACTTTGTAGGGACCTCGCATCTATTGACAAGACTAAGTAACATGACGGATTATAGTATCTTTAATAACATTTTCCATCCAGCCACCACGTTCAGTAAGACTTGACTTAAGGAAATATTTGAAAGATCATGTGTCTGCTAAGATGTCAAAAATGAAATCCATTTTTATAATACTTTAAAAAAGATTAAAGAATCATCATCATTACAATCCTTCATAAATCCACTGCTGAACATAGGCCTCCCCATATAATGTCACGAAGCACGACCAGGTCGTCACTCCATCTAGTGGAAGGCCGCCCTTTCAACGAACATTTCACTTACTGGTACGAGGTTGCCACTCGAGAACCTTTTTTCTCCATCAGTTGTCGGTAGTTCGGGCTATTTAGTTACTCTGGTTCTATTGCAGATATCCTCGTTTCTAAGTCTTATTATGCTTAGGTATACTTACATTAGTTTTAGAAGTTAGTTGTTAAGGTTAAAAATTAAAAATTAAAAACTCAAAATAATTACAAAAATATATACTTATGTATACTTAAATTAGTTTAAGAACTTAGTTATGAAGGTTAAATAAGAAAGGTTTATTATTTTTTTTGCTTTTCAGTTTTCTCGGCGGTTTAATTTTTTTGTTAAAAAGTTTTTATTTTATAATTTTTCGTGGCTATAATCTACTAATTGCTACATGCTTAATTTTTGATTACTTTCAAATTAGCTACCTACCTTACTTCAGCTATTAACTGTTATTTAATCCTACATTAACTATTATTTGTTGTATAATATAAATACTTAAAAAAAACAGGCTTTATCTACAACCATGGGTAGGCCTACAAAAATGCTGCTCGAATGAGAAAAAGATATTTAGAAGAATCTAATAATGAGAAAAATAAAAGGTTTGAATCAAATAGAAAGAGAGTTAGATTAACACGTTCACAGGAGAGTTTAGATCAGCGCGAGGAAAGACTGTCGAAGATGAGAAGCTACATTAACGATAGGTTATCGCAAGAATGTGAAGAGCAACGCGCTCATCGTTTAGGTCTGATAAGAGAGTGACATTCAAATGAAACTAAAGACGAACATTTGCAACGTTTGGGTGCTGCTCGTAACTGTTCTGCAATGGTGATACTTCACGAAACTCCCGAAGAGAGAACTAATCGTTTGAGCGACATGCAACTAGGGCTTGGGAGCGAAGAAACCAGTGTAATGCAGAAAATTTTAAGAAAGCGATTAATGCTTATGCTGACTTGCCGTGTTCAATATGCAAAAAAAGTTTGTATCCTGAGCAACGTACGATATTGCAAACTACAAATTTAGGCTCTAATTTGCCTAATGAATTGGTAGCTTAAGGTGATATTATTACTTGTTCACGATGCTCAAATAATATTAAAAAACATAATACTCCACCGCAGGCCTATTGGAATAAAATGTCGGTAGCTGCAATACCTACAGAAATCGATGACTTATCGGAAATTGAGAAACGTTTTATTTGCAGAGTAGTGTCATTTCTTAAAATAATAAAAGTTTGAGCCAAGACTGGTGCAAAGGGCAGGCAATTATTTTTGCTCAGGATGTGGTCGAGCTAGCGGAGCAACTTCCGCTTGAACCTAATCAAACTGAATTAGTGCTCGTAGTAGAAAGTCGTGAAAATTTAGAACATTCTAGGGAGTTTCAAATAGATGTAGGTAAACTTCAATTAGCACTGCAGTGGCTCCTAATGCACTCTATAAAGATGTTCTTGTATATTTTTCTACTGTGATCGATATTTCTACGTTAACACAAATTGCTGATGAAACTGCACATGGTCATGATAGTGAAGAACCAATTGCTGAACGGTCAAATGTACCTACAAATAACTATACTGCCTTGAGTAACAATGTATCTGTATTACATGGTTCTTTTTATCAGGAAAATGAACGATTTAGTCCAGAGTCACGTGGTCGGCAATGCACAAGGATTGCAACTGTTGCTAGGGTGGCATTTTCTCTGATCGATCCTTATAATTGGTGCAAAAGCGACGTAGATTACATGTTATTCGTAGGAGATAAATATTATAGATACTGTATTGCCACTCGGGCTAACCTCAATCCCTAAGAAGCACATATCGAATATTTGGCTGCAACTGAGCTTTTACCTAATATCACAGACAACAATCGAAAAGTTGATATCAATATTCATCATGAATCAACCTTTAATAGTCACGTAGACAACGAGAATAGTGAAGAAGGAATTCCCAATTTGTTAAACGCTCTAATAATACAAATGTAGTCGTCCATTGTAGACAAGAGCCTGAGGGTATTTCTTACTGGTTGTTTGACTCCCACGCGCGAGGTCCAAAAGGTTTTAAAGCTCGAACGAGAGGTACTTCATTTTGTATACGATCTACTAGTATCCATAATACAATAATGAGATGACAGCTATAAATTCAAAACAAAATCGCGTCTATACAATCCGTTCCATAGATGAGTCTCGTGAAGTTGCTACCTATGGTAAGAAACCTCCATATAATGTTCTTCCAAAAGATGTGAAGAATTGTGGTGAACTTTTGTCTGAGGTAAAATTAGCTATCGAATCTCGTGTGATGTTGAGACGTAACATATCAAGTATCTGACGGGCTCGTCAATGGTGCTATGGGTATTGTAAAAATAATAAAATGGCCATCACTACGCAGGGATCAACTAGAGGAAGGAGAATTACCATATTGCGTATTAGTAAAATTTGACGACGAAAGCATAGAAAACAGACTAAAAGATAGCGATGGTTGTGTCGCCATACTTTCAGTGGTAGCAACTTTTTAAGGTACAAGGGTTATGGCGATATTGAGCGCATGATGTTGCCGATAATTTTATGCTGGGCCGTCACGGTTCACAAATTACAAGATACTGCCCTTGATAAAGCTGTAATCGACCTCGGAAAGAAAGTGTTTGCCAAAGGGCAGGCATATGTGGTACTGAGTAGAGTAAAAACACTTGAGGGTATTGCTATATCTGATCTAGAGCCAAATAATGTATTAAACAAACCTCACGATGACCGAGCTTTAGCAGAAATGCAAAGACTGAGATGTCTACACACAAGAGACTGACAGGTCTAAAGCTCATTCACCGTGAGGTTTTTTTTGTAATGTAATGTAATTATTATGTAATGTAGTAATACACAGCTCAGAATTAAAATCTCTAAGTAAAAAATAAATCAACCTTATTTTCCGACCCTTAGCGTAGACATTTTTTCTTTACAAATTTATACGTGACCAATTTCGATGTATACCCTATCCAATAAAAAAAGAATTATCAAAATTGGACTACTGTGTAAAAGTTATGCGTGGTCATACATAAAAAACAATATACACGTCGACTTGAGAACCTCCGGTTTTTCGTCGGTTAAAAATAAAGAATTTATACATTATAGTTCGTTTCAAAAACGTGACATGTTAAAATAGTTTATACATAAACATGTTTCTATGCAGCTGACAGGACTATATACCGGCCGTGCCAATATTTCTCGGGAAAACGTTGCCGAGTACCGGAACAAACTGAAGTCGAGACAGCGTTGAACAAAATCTCAGACTGGGGGCGACTGAATCTAGTCCAGTGCAATCCCAAAGATACAAGTTTGCGCGTTTACCGCTAAAAAGTACCCCTTTGTCATATCTCCTCAGTTTCAAGGCACTCCTCTTGCTGCCTCAGCCAGTATCGGTGTCGGCATATCGTGCAGTTTCGTGGTCACTTTTTTTATAGGAGAGGGGCAAACGAGCATGCGGCTCACCCGATGGAAAGTGAGTACCGCCTCCTATGAACAACTGCAACACCAGGGGAATTGCAGATGCGTTGCCAGACTTTAAAAAGGAGTAGGCTCTTTTATTGAAGACCCCTTAATCATATCGTTCCGGAAAAATTGTTGGTGGTAATCGATTTCATTAGAAAGTTATGCGAGGAAGAAAACTACTTCTACCATATCATCTGGATGATTGGTGGATCACCAATCATCCAGATGATATGGATGGTAGCACTTGGAAGAGAAGGCCAAATTGGCTTTAAAAAGCTTGGCGTGCTCAGCAGAGCGGGACAGTATTTGGTGGCGGTACACCGCTTGCAACTTTACAAGGCACAGGTTCGCCCTCACATGGAATACTGTTCCCATCTCTGGGCAGGGGTTCTCCAGTGCCAGCTTCTTCTACTTGACTGAATCCAGCACAGAGCGGTTCGAATCGTTAACGGCCGAGTTCTTTCCGATAGGCTTGACTCAATTGCACTGCGTAGAGATGTTGCATCTCATTGCGTATTTTATCGCATCTATCACGGATAGTATTCTGAGGAATTGTTCGGACTAATTCCAGCCGCTCAGTTACACCATCGCACATTGCGTCAAAATTAGCGATACCATCTATACAATCTGGATGATTGGTGGTCCACTACTTTGCGATTTAGAAGAATTTTTCTTCCTCGCACAACTTCCTTGTAGAATCGATTACCACCAGCGTTTTTCCGGACCGATACGACTTAGGGGCCTTCAAGAAAATACCCTATTCCTTTTTAAAAGGCCGGCCACGCATCTGCACTTCCCCTGGTAATACAGTTGGTCATGGGCAGCAGTAGTCACTTACCATCAGGTGAGTCGCATGCTCGTTTGCCCTCTTCTAAAAGTATGTTATTTTATTCTTGTGTACATTGACATTTTATGCCAAAACAAAGTGGTACTTTACTAGGTAATACAATTTTAGTACTAGGGATCCACCAATATAAATCTCTTAATCTGCCGACAAGTACAGTCCTATTTCCCATTATGGACATCCGTGAAACAATTATGTTAATAACTGCTGACAATAATAACATTTCGTTTTAGTCAACAAGGGTACTAATGTATCTATATCTATTTTAAGCCGACTTTAAAATAATTATAACTTAACAAAAAGTAAATAGTGACTTCAAATTACTAAAAAAGAAGTTACTTATTTGGGTAGCAGTTATAGGGGTGGAACTTTTTCTCCAAATTTATAAGGGACCACTCATAAATTTATACCTTATATAATATAAAAAAATAAAAAAGCATCATCAAAGTTGGTTAACAATCTGAGAAGATATCGCGCAACATACATACAAAAAAAAACATACACTCGAATTAGCAACCTCCTCCTTTTTGAAGTCGGTTAAAAATAAAAGATTCCCAGTTAATGTGTACCTTTTTTTGTATGTACGTTCCACGATGATATTTTTGTCAATTATGAACTTACTTAAATGATTACAAATTAAAAAGGATTGGAAAAGTAGGAGATAAAATCTTTAAAGTTATTTACAATTTGAAGGCCTTTTTAGTTTTTAAAAAGGACAAAAAAATTAAACTTAAATAAAAATAAAAAGTCAATGTCGAGGGAACCAAAAGGATTAAATATTATTTATCTTTAGTCAGGGTTTTAATTCCTCGATACACTATACTTACTTTGCGCCAACTTCAGATGCTAAAGAATTAATTCTTTATAGTTCTTAAAATCGTATTATATATTTAATTGAAGTTTAGTTTTATTGAAATTTACTATAAGTAACGCCTTGCCCTTAAATTAATGTTCTCACTAGAAATTCGTTTGTAATTTTAAGACAAGAATCTTATTCAATGTGCAGTATGTAAACATAAACTCCAATGACTTATTTGTGGTTACTTTGTTACAAAACCTCAACGGTTGTTATTTTAATTGCCCACGTGTATCAGACATTTCCTTTGTACTAGAAACAAAGAGATTTAATTACTGAGAAGGTAAATACAGGAAAGCTACCGAATTTCACATTTAAATACTGTGACCTCTTTACCCTTGGAGACGGATTAGGACGGATTATAAAACACGATATGACCTCACGTGTATAGAAAGGATTTTTTAGTTAGGGAAACCCAACTTAAAAAAAGTTTTTCTCACAATTTATCGCACACCATTACAGGTAAAGTTTATTTTCAAGCGAATAATCATATATTTTATATGTAGGCTCCTTAACGCATACTGAACTCCGTATTTCGTAAGTTGTGAAACGAAAGAATCTTTATGTGCTTTGCATGAGTGGAAAACTTCGACGGTTTTTGGGAATTACCCTTTAGTAACTCTTAGGTATATTCTCTTTATGGTATGTTATATTGTACGTATCGCAAAGTCAGCTGAGAGGAAATTACACGAGAATTAATTTTAAAGCCGTGGTATCTGCGGGGGATGAGGGTTAGCTGGAAATTTCACAGCACACGAGTAACTCGGGTTCAATACTAGCTGGAAGCAGCTAAACTGTAAATGACGGTTTTAAGTGTTGATTTACCAGTTGCTCAGCGGCGTTTTTTCGACAACATGGGATAGGGCAGCGCAGCTCAAGCAAATGTACACTGTTAATTCTCTCACTCCCAGAGTGCGATGGGACGGATAATATTACGGCGTGACAAAATAAAACAATTTGTTATTGGGCCTTAAATAAAACTTATTTACCACGATCGCCTAGACCGAGCCTAAACGTGAGCTAAGATCAAGCGTATCAAGGCTGCAGTACGAATGGGTCGGTTAAATCGGGGAAGGTCACAGAATACCAGTTCAAAAGAGTTCTATTATTCTGCTATGTTTTGTATGGTGAGTGCAGAGAATAGGAAACACTTTTTAATGGTAACGAGGCATTCTTAGTCCTCTGGGATGCTAGTGTACTTGCATCCATTTATCATCAGGTATACTGTGTTTTCCCTTTTCAACCTCAATTTATTAAAAATGGTATCCTACCAGCACTTCACTTCTTATAACGTGTAATTTACATTATAAGAAGTGAATGCTACTATCCAATTTCTCAGTTAAGAATCAAAAAACAGATTCATTGTGAGTGAGTATTAAGGACTAAGATGAAATACCTCCTTAGAAAAAATCAGTAAAAAGGGTGAAAAACGCTTTCCCCTAAGGGTTCTCGACACTCATCATATGATAGATGGCATTATAATGTTTCACGCTGGTATTCTGTGTGAGCGACCCATTCGTGCTCCAACCATAATATAGCTGCAGTGTGGCTCTACGTGCTAGACCTGTACTTGTATAAGAAAGTATCTTGCTTTATATGCCAATGAGATTTCACTAACTGCAGTCGTTAACTTCTAATTGCTGACGTTTAAGCCCTTCCTAAATAATGTAAGAAGTTTCATGTCTCAATTGCTAGCGTGTAAACACAAGAGCATGTGCGAGAGCACGAACGCTTTGAAACAACCCTTTGCTTTGTTCCTGTCGCTATGAACTTAATAACAAATATTTCATAACACGGAATTCATTATTTATGTCTTGTTACTCCATAAGTCTTACACGTTTAAAGCAATCAAGTAAATTATTGAATGAAACTAGTCATTTTTGCGGATTTTATGGCGTTAAATTTTTTTATATTTTTATATTCCTGTCACTTCGAGTACATTGCAGCACATAGGTCAAGGGGACTAAGAAGATCGATGGCCCAATGTCACTGTTGAATACGACTAACTTCATTTAAAATTATTAATTTTTGGTCCGATCTACGGGAAAGAATTTATAAATCAAAAACTAGTTTTATTCAACGTTCGCGTATATGTCAATATAAATATCATTACATAAGTAAATTATTATTACAAACAAAGATAGCGACTGCGGTGATTAAACAAATATATGTTATAATTTATTTTATTTGTTAAAGGTATACATTATATATGTATGTGTGAGAATGGAATGTAAGGATATAATGAAAGAGTTAGAATATAACGTAATTGCAATGACTGAAAGAAAAAGTTGTTTCATTATTTTTTTGGGTTTCTGGTTTTAGTGTTAAGACGAATCTCGATGAAAATTTTAATCTAGTGTGGTAATAGTTGACCAAAATTTCGAGCTATTTTAAGCATTTTTGGGAGTGCCCCAGGGCATAACTTTAGGACCGTTATTCTTTTACATGTTTATCAAAGACATAACGCATAATTATAATAGAATAATAAAGTTTCTCTTATTATATATATCTAAAGAAGTTAGGAAGGATAAAAGAATATCTATGTATTATCAAAATCTGGAGATAAAAATGTTCTACACATTTATTATTATTTTTTTCTTTATAAACAAATTGCGGATGC